CCATAAACTTAAAAAAAAAAAAAAAAAAACTGTCCTTTTTTAATAAAGAATACATTTTTTTGAAAGTCTAATGAAAAATAATAAATTTTAATCCATAATTTGAACCGAAAAATTGTGCATGGCGGTAACGACTCCAAGGTCGTGGGTTCGATTCCCGGGGAATGCATGAATGGATCAAATGTGTAGCTTGAATGCAGTGTAAAACATTTTGGATAAAAGCACCTGCCAAATGCATAAATGGAAATATATCATAACAATGACGTAGATTTATCCGTGATATATGATTTTGGTCATACCACCGACCTTTAATATGCGGATTGGGATGTGGCCCGTCACTGTATAACCATCCTGTTTAGAAAAGCCTTCACAAAGCACAATTGTTGAGCTTTTGTCCAGCCAACAGAGTGAAGTCCTTGTAAAATGAGTCCCTTTCACGTCTCACTGATGTGTTTTGTCCGTTTGACACCAGAGGTCACCGAGGCAGGAAACCGGGTTACAAGTACTCCGGACTCTCAATAGCTTTTATAGGAACTTACAAACTCTGTCATTAGCCCTCGGAAATGTGCACTCTATAAATAGTAGCTCCAGTGCTAAAGGTAATTGTTCATATATGTAACACATCTGGGAGCATTTATGAGTCCTTTTTCAGGATATTAGCATTATTAGCAATCAGAAACATGGATATTTTGATCAATTTGTCAACCTGAAGTGCTCATTTTTGCTTCAGATCTGGTCCTAGAGAGTCAGAATGGTGAGAATGCATCTTTATATGTGTGCTATGTATTGTCTTTACACTAAAAAAGTTTTGCGTATAAAGAAATCAGGTTTTTTTATTAATGTGTTTGAGATTCCTCATTTTGAAAAATGTAGCATTGCATATATATATTCTTTGTGGAGAAAGCAATCAGAGTGCTTAGTGAAAAAAAAAAGTTGACCCAAGAGAGTGGATGATTTGAGAGAAATCACTCTATTTACTCATTCGAATTCATTCTAAAGCATTCAAGTCATGTTAAATCTGATCTCCACAGCCTCCACATGACCTGCAGGCCTCTCGTGCACCGGGTGCCGCCAAAGTGAGGAAGACCATCAGCAGTCGAGTGCACGAGGCAGTGAAGGCCATTGCACTGGTGCACAACGTGACCCCAGTATATGAGTCCAATGGTGTCACGGATCAGGCAGAAGCTGAACAGCACTATGAAGACACCTGCAGGGTTTACCAGGCCTCCAGTCCAGATGAGGTACCACAGTCTTATTCATGATGATACTGGCCATTCAGTCAAAAAAAAAGAAAATATTTATTTGTGCGTGTGTGTATTTATATATATATATATTAATTAAAATATTTTAAAATAAAAAATATTTAAATTGTATCTTTTTCTGAATTCTTTGAAGAACCGAAAGTTTAAAAAAACTTCTATTCTTCAAAGAATTTGGAAAAAAATTACAGCGTTTATTTGAAATAGAAATCTTTTGTAATGTTATTAATGTCTTTACTGTCTTTTGATCAATTGAATGCAATTCAATTGATCAAAGTATTTTTAAATGGATTGAAAAAATAAAAAGCATTCATAAAACATGAGTTTTTAAATAACACATGTAAAGCATTTGAATTATTGAAAAACTTGAACAGCATTTATAAAACACGAGCAGAACAAATTGCTTTAAAAAATGTTTTAATTGTGTTAATAGTTGAAAAGCATTCTTATTTATGTGACGTGTTTTTCCAATGATTTACAAGCACGTCATTTTGTTAAATCATTTTTATGTAAATTACTGTATTAATGCATAAAAAATACATATGCATACATAGGTAAAACCTGAGCATTTAAATAACAAATACATGAACACGAATAATTTAAATACTTATTTAAATAGCAAAAATTCATGAACATTTGGATAATTAAAAAAACCTTAACATTTATAAAACATGAGCAGACAAATTTATTTTAAAATAAATATTCTTTTTTTTTGTCAGTGACAATTTACATGTTTTTTCCTGTGATTTACACAGATGTCAAAAATAAATATATTTAAATCTATAAAAAAATTAATATATTTTTTTAAAAAACCATTTAATTTACGTAAATACATGAACATATGAATAATTTAAATAAAGGTGACATATTATGTCCCTTTTTACAATATGTAATATTAGTCTCTGGTGTCCCCAGAATGTGTCTGTGAAGTTTCAGCTCAAAATACTTCACAGATCTTTTATTATGTAATTTTGAAAATGCCTATTTTGAGTGGAAGCAGAAACACGCTGTTTTTCGGGCCTGTGTCTTTAAATGCAAATGAGCTGCTGCTCCCCGCCCCCTTTTCCAGAATAGAGCTGCGCCATTACAGCTCGTATCTGCTAAAAACATCTGTTTTGGTTCTGATTATCATGTTTATCGCGCTGAAATCATGCGTTTTAAACCAACTGAAAGAAGAAAGTAATATACACCTAGGTTGCCTCGGGGTGAGTAAAACGCAGCCTAATTTTCATTTTTGGGTGAACTAACCCTTTAAGTCGCTGGGGTATATTTGTAGGTTTTGTGGTCCAGGGTCACAAATATCTTAAAATTAATTAAATGCATAAATAATATTTGTAATTAATATAATTTTTTTTAAATATAAAAGAAACAAGAGACATATATTTTACATATATATAAAAAATTTTCTATAATTTTGGATTATAAAATAGACCTAAAATTGAATTCACAAATTGAAAACATTCATAATATAGAAAATATTTTTACTGCCTGATTATTTAATTCAATATTTAATGAAATATTTTAGAATAAATAAATCTATTTAATAATTAAAAAATATTTTTAAATTAGTAGATCTGGATACACACAAAAAAATAGTTTGAACAAGATCTTCTCAAAATGCTTTAAAGTAGCATCCCTTTTTCTATACATAGCTTGGATAAGCCTCATTTGTTGGTTTGTAACAGCGAGGCCTGTTTTTTGGGCAGCAGTCCGCCCATCTGGATACTATGAGATATATTATTAGCAGCGAGTCAGGGAGGGCGTAAGAAATCGGGTTTTTTGATCTCTCTCTGTAACCCTTGGTCTGGAAGTTATTGGGCAATAACTTCTGCCTCACAGAAATACCCCCCTTCAGCGTCACACTAATGGATGGCATCTGCTTTGCCTTTATCTTCATATGATCCCAGAAGAAAACACGCTTATAATTGGTGGCCCATTGCATACTTGCATTTTCAGCTCCACACATCCCCCCCAAAAAAAAGTTGCAGGAAAGAGTCAAGATGTAAAACGTAATGGTTCTGTGTTTGATTTTGAGTTAGTTAGTTTTTTTTTTTTTTTTTAGTTTAAGTAATTTGCTTGGAGTGATAAGATGTCCAACTGATAAAAACTGCAAATTGCTTCCTGTTTGTTTCTGAAACTCAAATGCAGAATGGTTTCATATATTGTGATTTCTCCTTCGATCCGTCTCTGTTATGCACTAGGTGTCTCTGGTTCAGTGGACGGAGAGTGTCGGTCTGACACTGGTCGGTAGAGATCAGTCTTCAGTGCAGCTGAGGACACCTAGTGGACAAATACTGAACTTTACCATCCTGCAGGCTTTCCCCTTTACCTACGAGAGCAAACGCATGGGCATCATAGTGCGAGTAAGCATTGCATCCAGCAGTTTTGGATCATCTTGACACAGAAACACAAGTGTCCCTAAGCTCCATTAACTTAAAAAATGACCTGTCTGACATATAGAAGGATGACGTGTATTAAAAACGAAATAGAAGAATTTTCACTACTGTATTTATTGATAGATGTGTTTTGTGATATTTAATGGCTATACTAAAAAATGGTATCGGATTTACTTTTGTTTAGAATTTTCACCAAAAGTGCTAGTAAATTTCACACATACAGGTGCATCTCAATAAATTAGAATGTCGTGGAAAAGTTCATTTATTTCAGTAATTCAACTCAAATTGTGAAACTCGTGTATTAAATAAATTCAATGCACACAGACTGAAGTAGTTTAAGTCTTTGGTTCTTTTAATTGTGATGATTTTGGCTCACATTTAACAAAAACCCACCAATTCACTTTCTCAACAAATTAGAATATGGTGACATTCCAATCAGCTGATCAACTCAAAACACCTGCAAAGGTTTCCTGAGCCTTCAAAATGGTCTCTCAGTTTGGTTCACTAGGCTACACAATCATGGGGAAGACTGCTGATCTGACAGCTGTCCAGAAGACAATCATTGACACCCTTCACAAGGAGGGTAAGTCACAAACATTCATTGCCAAAGAAGCTGGCTGTTCACAGAGTGCTGTATCCAAGCATGTTAACAGAAAGTTGAGTGGAAGGAAAAAGTGGAAGAAAAAGATGCACAACCAACCGAGAGAACTCGCAGCCTTATGAGGATTGTCAAGCAAAATCGATTCAAGAATTTGAGTGAACTTCACAAGGAATGGACTGAGACTGGGGTCAAGTCATCAAGAGCCACCATACTAGTGTTGGGTCATTCTTGAACGATTCGTTCATTTTGAACGAATCTTTATTGTGACTCGGGAAGAACGCGTCGTCTCGGGGAGTGATTCGTTCAGTCGCGCATGCACAACATCCTATAGGTTCTGTACTGGAATTAGTCAAATAGTTCACCTGGTTCGAGTCTTCAGGTTTTTCCGAGTCATTCGTTCATCACGTGACAGCCCCATAAGCTTTAACCAATGCAGTCTGCACACTCACCAGACCTGAACCCATAGAGAATCTATGGGGTATTGTCAAGAGGAAAATGAGAAACAAGAGACCAAAAAATGCAGATGAGCTGAAGGCCATTGTCAAAGAAACCTGGGCTTCCATACCACCTCAGCAGTGCCACAAACTGATCACCTCCATGCCACGCCGAAGTGAGGCAGTAATTAAAGCAAAAGGAGCCCCTACCAAGGATTGAGTACATGTACAGTAAATGAACATACTTTCCAGAAGGCCAACAATTCGCTAAAAATGTTTTTTTTATTGGTCTTATGAAGTATTCTAATTTGTTGAGATAGTGAATTGGTGGGTTTTTGTTAAATGTGAGCCAAAATTATCACAATTAAAAGAACCAAAGACTTAAACTACTTCAGTCTGTGTGCATTGAATTTATTTAATACACGAGTTTCACAATTTGAGTTGAATTACTGAAATAAATGAACTTTTCCACGACATTCTAATTTATTGAGATGCACCTGTAGTTACAAAGAAACGGCAAGTAACAAACTGAATCTGAAATTTTGAAGTAGTTAGACTCGATTAATATTTTCTTGTGAAACATACACCTATAATATTTGCTTTATTTACTTCGAAAAATCATTTTTACAGTGTAGTTGAACTTTTTTTTTTCTAATTTTGGTATAATTACTTGCAGGCTGGCCTCATATTAATTGAGAAACTATGCATTTGTACTTCAAAAAAAAAATTTGTCAAACAACAGGACAATTATAGATTAATAATGGTGGATAAATGTAAATGTACAGTACTTTTACAGTAAATTTGTTTATGCATCCGGTATTATGAACTAACAATGAACAATACTTTTTTATAGCATTTATTAATCTTGGTTCATTTTAATTTCTACTAAAGCATTTGTAACATTTCAAGTTAATTAAATTAACAATTATGAACAAATGATGAAAAAAATTACTTAACAATGAACTATTATATTTTTAAGTTAACTTGCACAAATCAATTCTGTAAAAATAGTTAATAGTTATTCATTGTTAACTCATGATGTGCAATGCATTAACTAATGATAACAAATTAAACCTTGTTAAAAAAGTTACTAGCATAAGAAATTGACCAATCACCAACCTGACAACCCAAAAAAATACACTTTTTATATATATATATACACACACACATATACACACATATATATATAT